CACTGCTGATGATGATGTTGTATGCATTCGATTGTGCGATTTACACTTTAAAAGTATCAAACGATTGTTTTGATGTACTCGTGATTTATTAACGCGTTAATGAAAACCGTTGAAATTTGTTGCCAAACGGATTCAGCGCTTGAACGGAATCACATTTTTTTTCAATAATTTACATCGAAAAAATTGATTATTCCCAAAATCGAATCCACTTGACTTTCATTTTGCACCTAACTTTTATTAATAATCAATATTTTAATCAATTATATTTTTCTTTTCAGATATATTTCTCAACAATGTCAAAACAAGCATCCAGTGCAAAGCTTCGACGTCTGGTGGAAAAACTCTATGGATGGACATTTGGTGAGATTATTGCTCCTAATTTTTTTATTGCTCCCTACCAGGATTTAATTGGGAAAGTGGAAACCTTTGTCGAATCTTATGGATCGTACAACATCGACGATTTACAATTTAGGGCCATACAAGCCAAAGTGGAAAAATTGTTAAATTCAAGTGATATTTCATCCGAAGATAAAGACTCGTTGGAATCTTATTACAATCGGGGGAATTGTCTTCTTTCGAATTTACCAAAGGTAAACTTTAACTTTTAATCGTATTTTATCACTAATGTCTTTTTCTAGTTGAAACATAGGCGACAATTCGACAAACATCATCCGGTGATTAAATCTTTATCGGCAATGAAAAGGGGAGAAATTAAGACGGTAATATGTTGTGAACAAATTTTTTCAAGTTATTCGTCCATGTATCTACATGTGAAATCAGTTCATTCTGAACTTTATGTTGATGAAAATCGAGACCAAGACCAAGACCATCCGGCGGTGGATGTTGAACCATCTACTTCAGCCTTTGACATGGAAATTTTGAATGAAGAAGAGCCTTCGCTTCATTCTGTCGAGCCCCAAGTTAAAGAACCCGAATCTTTAATGCTTTTTGATCCCATCGATGATGAAGAAGATGAAGATTCTGATGTCCTCATTATCGATGAAGGAGAACCTGAATTTGATCCCGAACATGAACCTGAATTTGATTCTGAATTCGAACCTGAAGTAGAACCAGAAGAAGAACCTGGAGATGATGTTCATTTTATAAGCAGTGACCGCGTCGACTGCGACTTTTTGAACACGGTAAGGAATAAGTTGTCAGATTCGGATTACGCGATATTCGATTCTTGGTGCCAGAAGTTCATTGAGAGTCGAGTCTTGTTTAACGCTACTATTCCTGGATTACATAATTCGATTCCAACTTATGCTTCAACGTTAAGTAATCCTGATCTTCGGTATTATTTAACACGGATGGCGGATTCTTCTTTTCTTCAAGAAAAGTTTGCTATGATGGATGCCAGGTATATCCAGCCTAAGGCTTTCTATTTGGATAATGGTAAGTCTTATTATTATATTCCGATTAGGGAAATTCTAACTAAATATGTCCTGAATGATGATTTAGTTCATATCATCAGACAAGAGAATACCGATAACGTAAGTCCTTACGTTCGAAACAATGGGTTTCATGGTAAACTCCGTTTGATGATTTATGGCGATGAATTCGGGATATGTAATCCGCTTAGGGAATCATCAAGAAAGTACAAAGTGTATGTACTTTATCTTGATATCAATAACAGGAAGTTCACTTCCAAGAAAAGGGATGTTCATCTTCTGATGATTTGGTGTCCAAACGACTTGAAAACTTCAAGTCAATCACTTTTGGACATCATGAGTCCCTTATCGGGTGACCTTCTGAAATTGATTAGGGAAGGTATCATGTATGATTTGAATGGTCAAAGCATACAGGTACCAGTTTGTTTATCCCACATTCTCGGCGATAATCTATCTGTCGCAGAATTGCTAGGACTTCGTCGATCGTTTGGACCTGCCTTCGCCTGCCGGCATTGTGGGATACAACGTTCGCAATTGTCCTCGCTTGATGATAATAAAATTCCTTTTGATACGATCCATAGATCTTATGGATCGTATCAAAAGGAGTTGAACTTGGTCCTTTCCAACAAGCAATACATTAGTCCTTTTGGAATTACTTGTCGACCAGCTTTCGACAAATTAGGTATAAATGTTTATCAGATTGCTCCAGCTGATATTTTTCATGATCTAGCTGAGGGCGTTGTTCCTTTAGTTATTGGTAAATCTTTTGAGATTCTCAAGGCCAAATTAGGGTTAGATAGGGTTAGGAGTAGGTTTAGTTCATTTAAAATTTGGGTAAATGGCAAAATAGGTATTAATTTTCAAGATAGGTTAATTAAAATTCGAGGTAAGGGTTGGCAAAGAATTGAGTTAGCGGTCCGCCTAGTGGAACTATTTCCTGAAATGACGGAAAATCCATCGGATTACGCTATTTACTTTCATCTTAGGAAAGTAATATTCTTTGTTTTCTCGCCTTCCGCGCCATGCATTAGCGAATTAAGGTCAGCAGTTAGGGAATTTATTCGTTTGTGCCATGAAATGAGACTGAATACCCCTAAAGTCCATTTCATCAGTCATTATCCTGAATTGACTGAATTCTATGGCACGCTATCGCGTTTTAGCACAGATAAGTATGAGCGCTTTCATTCTTATCTCAAAAAATTATTATGCACTTCGAAAAATTTTTTGAATGTGCCTTGTTCGCTTTCTAAGCGAAATCAAATGGCACAGCCATTTTTGTGGAATCGCGATCAAAGTGTTCCTGTTGAAGGTACTTTGTCGTCGCTTGATTTTCCGTTTCCATTGGGCCGTAGAATTCTACGAATTTTATTGACCGACGATAATTCTTTTATCGAAGCTCGCCAATTTGTCGTTCGAAATTCGGAAACTTTTGTTAGGGGGAGATTGTGGACTGTTACTGACCGTAACAGCGAAATAAATGTCCACAAGGTAAATTTAAGTTCGGATTCTTGCGAACAACCTTTATCAGGTTTATCTCACTTGAATTCTTACTTATTCAAGTACCAGGGACTCTATTTCGTCAACTATTCGATGATGAAATAGTTTTGACTTTGGTTTTCGGTTGTTGATCCATCTTTTCTCCACCTGGTTTTCGGTTTTGTTGGTTTCTATCTTTCTTCTGGCTTCATCGTTTTCGGTTTTGTTGGGTTCTATCTTCTGGCTCCATCGTTTTCGGTTTTGTTG